AAGTTTGCTTTAGACACCCATTTGCCAACTCTTTACGATCCGGACAAAACTAATACCTTGGGCTGAGCAATCCTAGCTCTTGCCTGAATCTTGCATAGCCTAAATACAGATAGGGCTTATGGAGTTCCCTACTAGGATATTTTACCAGTGCCTTTTGAATTATATGTTTTCTTTATGTAAACAGGTATTGAGCTTATCTGTTCAATGTCTGTAAATCAAGTTTCTCTTATTCCCAAAGCAAGAGCCATATGGTAAATGCAATCACGGAGATGGGTTTTACTATTTTTATCCCAAGGAAATTGTGTATTGAATACTGTGTTTACATGCACATATTTAGTTTTTGCAGAAAAGTCTCCAAAGCTTTCAAAAATAATAGAAATATTTGGTGACCCTTAAAAGATGTCAAGAATATCTCGTTGCCCTCCTGTAGTATACCAATATGTCTGTTTTAGCTTAAGGGATTATTATATTTTTTATTAAAAATGCATCAGTTGACATTTCTGTATTCCATATCAGTCTAATAAATCTGGTTAACATAAGTTTGTCCTTGAAAACTTGGCTATATTTTCAGTTTGTCTACAAAAATCAAATTAGTTTAAAAGATTTAGTGTCAAACTTTCCTGTTGCCATCAGTAAATTTCTGAGGAACTTAAACTACTGGCCCTATCTTGGTAGATACCCCATCATGTCCACCTTGATGAACCATAGGCATTTTGTTGTTACTGTTATTTGAATTTTTATAGTACAAGCCATTAAAGAGACAAGTTTGGTCAGATTATTATTTGCTCAAGCGAGAAGAGCAGTTGTTATAGACTCAACTGGGTCTCTCCCAAGTCCGTATGTTGATGTTCTAACACCCAATATGACTGTATTTAGAGATTGTTCCTTTAAAGAGATGATTAAACGTAAATAAGATCGTAAGAGTGGGTTCTTACCCTGATAGGGCTAGTGTCCTTATAATAAGAGGAAGAAACATTAGAGACGGACACACACACAGAGAAAAGATCACTTGAGAACACAGCAAGAAGGAAACCATCTAACAAGTCAGAAAGAGGCCTCAGGAGAAACCAACCCTGCTGTCATTTTGGACAGTTGATCTTGGACTTTCAGCTTCCAGAACTGTGAGAAAATAAATTTCTCTTGTTCAATAAACCCAGACTGTGGTATTTTGTTAATGTAACTCAAACAGACTAATATGGCAATTGAGGAAAAAGGCTGCATTTGCAAATTTTTGACTGCAATTATGAATTGTGAAATTATCACAATTAAATGCATATGAAATTTACTTCTTATGATTAATTGCAACTAGATGATTAGGAAGAAACCAACATTTACATGTACCATAAGTATAACATTTGCAATTGTTTTACTATATGGAACATTTACATAATATTTCAAAAAGTAAATATTGTTGATTTAAGATGTTTATAGATATATGATTTAAAAAAAAAACAAACTGAAACATCTGTGCCTGAGCCATCACCATACTATAATCAGACAGTAATTAAAACTAGTTCCAGCATTTTGAAGAAAGGATACTTGAATTCATGGAAATTAAAAATGCCTGCTATGGTATGAGAACTGCTGTTTGGGTTAAATATTTTCCATTTATGTAGAGAGAGAACCACTCACTTGAGTATGTAAAACCATACCACAATTTTTAGCTTGAATTTTAATTAGTAAGCAAAGATGCAGAGTAGATACAATTCTTAAAGAAACACACACACACACACACACACACACGCACACACACGTGTGTGTGTGTGTCTGGCTTATATATTTTATATAATATCTACTCTGCATCTGTGTGTGTGTGTGTGTGTGTGTGTGTGTGTTCCTGGCTTACATGTTTTGTTGACAATGTGTTTACTTTGCTGTAGATGTGTATGTGAACTGTAATACTATATCAGTAGGAAATTAGTATAATTAAATTAATGCTACAACTTTAGAAGCTAAAAATGTGCTTGTTAATCATTCAAAAAGAAAAAGAATATCCAATGGAGTCTTTTTAAGCTTAAATTTTATAATGTATACAGGTAATTAACTGTGCTATGACAGTATTAAGAAAGGTCCAAGTGTTGATCTTGTTGGTTTTTGGTAATAAGAGAATGTTACTATTAATAAAACTGCTGACAAGAATTGAATAGTTAATAGAAAAGGGGGGGGGAATTAATATATGAAGTAAGATTAACACAATAAAAACCATGTGAAATTGTTCCTATTCTTTAGAGAAAGGAATTTTCTTACTAAATAAAAAATGTATATATGAAACTGACTTAGGGAATACCTAGTTAATTTGATGACAGAGCCTTTGACCAGAAGGGCAATTAAAAGTGTCTTGTAGGCCGGGCGTGGTGGCTCACACCTGTTATCCCAGAACTTTGAGAGGCCAAGGCGGTGGATCACTAGGTCAGGAGTTCAAGACCAGTCTGGTCAATAGGGTGAAATTCTGTCACTACTAAAAATACAAAAATTAGGCAGGCATGGTGGCGGGTGCCTGTAATCCCAGCTACTCAAGAGGCTGAAGCAGAAGAATCGCTTTAACACAGGAGGCAGAGGTTGTGGTGAGTTGTGTGCCACTGCATTCCAGCCTGGGCAACAAGAGCAAAAAAAAAAGTGTTTAGATTAATATTATGAAAACATGGAGAATTCCATGTTTTAACTATTTACTCTTAAATAATAATCAAATGATAAATTCCTAATTTTTTTTTGCAGAGAAAGTAAACATTTATTGAGTAAATATACATAGTCAGCCACACACTGATATCTAAACAAGTAATAAAATGAAGTTTCCTTACATGGACCAACTCCTGCTTTATGTTGGCTAATTTTTGAGTAGTTTTGTTGAAAACTAGTTTGAAGTTTGCCTGAGATTTACATATGTATGTATTCTTTTATTTATTTAAACTTTGCAGATTATTAGATTGAAATATTCTGTTTCACTTAAAAATCTTTCTCCAGGGAAAGAAATATAAATTCATAGTGTCCTGAAACTGGTTTGCTTCAAATATTAGCCAAAAATGTGCAAAAGAGGCTTGGCTCCATCATAAGATGATCATGAGATAGAATTCCTGAGGTAGTTGACACAAAAACTGATTTTAAAAAGATACTTAAAATAAAGATTGTCATGCAATTTTGACATTTAATGACTTCACACATGTAAAGTCAATTTTAATTTACATGGATAAGTATAAAATTCATGCAAATAGCAAACAAATCTGCATTTTTATGCTCCTGACCTAAAAAGCTGGACTAATATGAAAAGATCATTCCCAAAGGTTTTACTTAAGGCTAATAAAGCAGGCTTAGATTTTTTACAACCTTCAAGTCCTCTCCTTCAGCCTGTCTAAACACACACACACACACACACACACACACCCTCCCCCAACCCCACACACACTTCTTGAAAGCAATTATAAGGGCACTCCAAACAGCCATTGATCTTAGTGACTCTGTATTTACCTATGCCTTTGAAAGAGGATTAAAACATTCATAAATATCCTTAAAATATTCTATAAGGTGTACCTGGGCACTTAAATGCATTTGTAAAATACCTAAAATAAGCACATCAAATCTTATGGTAGAAAGTTAAAGGTAGTCTGAAATTGTAAGGGAACCCACCGGAGGATTTACATTTACATAGTATTTTACTTTAAGGGAAAAGTTATCCATATAATCTTTGTAAAATTATGCTATATGTTTAAATAAATCAATATATGTGGATAGGGACAGAGATTTATGAATGAAAGTAGTCTGTTACGTGAATGGAATTAAAATCTGTGATGGGGATATGAATATTCTTATGGGTTGATTGTGTCCCACCAAAGTTCCTATGATCAAGTCCTAACCCCAACTACCACAGAATGTCTCTGGAGATAGAGACTGTAAGGAGGTAATTCAGGTTAAATGAGGTCATATAAATGGGCTCTAATCCATGACTGCATTTGCAGAGGGCCTTTCAAGGAGCGATTAAGTTAAAATGAGGCTGTCAAGGTGAAACTGAATCCAACTTGACTGGTGTCCTTCCTTTCCTTCCTTCCTTCCTTCCTTCTTTCCTTCCTTCCTTCCTTCCTTCCTTCCTTCCTTCCTTCCTTCCTTCCTTCCTTCCTTCCTTCCTTCCTTCCTTCCCTCCCTCCCTCCCTCCTTCCTTTCTTTCTTTCTTCCCTCCTTCCCTTCCC